CATATAATATAACTGAGTTTGCAGTCAAAATGTAGTGTTGGTGGTGGGTTTCCACAAGCCAGGTCCATCAGTTACCCCTAATTTAACATTTTACCTCCACAGTCCTATGTCCTCATGCCATTTTACTTCAAGTGGTAATTTACAAATGTGATAGATTACATCTAAATATATTAGGAAATCTAATTATCAACACTCATATTTGAGTCTCCATTTGAGAGGTGGATCTACATAAGCTAGTGAAGCCAAAGTATAAGACAATGAAGAACCATTGATGTTTAGAAGCTGAGGCCTTTCAGCCAGTTTTGGACTGCTTACTCCCCCCCTAAAAATTACTTTTGAATCTTTGTATTTAGGCCATCATGCATCTTCCTAAAATCCAGCCAAAAGCCTTTTGGCTAAATCAAATAGAGATTTTTCACTAAGTTTGCCATGGATGAGAAGAACAATAAAATATATAGCAAATGGAAGCTTAAAAATAAACCAAAAATAATTATAAATATATATCTCCTTGTGTGGATATTCCCTCTGAGTTTACTTCTTTCAATTTAAATTGATTATACAGTGACAATACAACTGAATTCAATCATTACAGCCCCATAACACAATGAAATAAAAGGTAGTAGCCATAGATTAAAAGCATCCAAAAAGATGTTCTAGAAGACAACTGTGTAACAGAAGTACATATCCTGCACCAAGACAGAGGACTGGAAAGAAAAGCAAAAGATTCTGCCATCAAGAGGCTTGAGATAAGAGTCGAAACATGTCAGATTGATTGGGACACAAACTGCCAGCAGGACAAGGCAGCAGCAAGATCATGGAAGAAATGGACACAGCCTATTGATGTTCACATATTAACTCTCAATACAGGCGGAGAGTTCAAAAATAAACTCCAATCATAAAAAACAACACCTATCATATAGTTACTGACTAAAACCAGGGCCCACAACTCTGGTTGGAAATTCATACTGAGGCTTGAGAAGGATAGAAAGCTTTATAATGAATCAAACACTTACCTAAGCATCCTCCTAATATTTAAGCACTTTCATTGTGCAGATAGTTTGACAGTTCCACGTTCATGAGTCTCTTGCTGTCTGGTTACCTTGGTACCTACTGCAGAACCATCCTAAACCACTGGCTGCCAAAAGAACCACAACATTCCTGACACCTTTTTATCTCCTGCTCAGAGATCCCTGAGTGCACTGAGACCTTGACCCTGATCAGCTTCACTTGGGAGCTCCTTCCAAGCCTTCACTTCAAGCCTCACTGCAGCTCAGACCAGCACCTTCATTCTCTGGTTAAGTTATAGGGGAGGTGTGTCCCTCTCCAGTGCTGTCACAGCTGTGCCTCTACTTGGCCATGAGCCCTATTCATCCTGGCCTGTGGAACAGTTTCACGCTTGACCTTGGATCTCCCTTGTCACTGTGAACTTCCCCTGGTTATCACTGGGCTGTATCTGCCTATTCCCTCTGATACTGGCTTTACAATTTTCCTGAAAGAGATATGAAACAGGCAAATTCAGGCAACACCTATTCTGCCCATTCATGCCAAATAAAAATGCTTTCTTTTAATTTCCGTTGTTCGGTCTCTCACTTATATATGTAAAAGGACAAGCATTAATTGAAGCTATAGAATGATATTAATGAACTTCTGATTGTGCTTTGAGTTGTAACTATTTTCTTGGATTTTCCTGGTCAAGGATGATGCCAATAGGTTTGAAGCTTCTGTTCAGAAGAGTTGTTATGAATGACTGTACGTGCTACAATTGAAAGGGAAAAGGGAAGTTATTGGGTTTTGGTACCTTTTTTTTTTTTGCAATTCAAAGTAGTCAAAAAGTCAGACTAAATGTTACCTTTCTTTAAAGCAAAAAAATAAGTTATCCCTCATATAATTGCCTGAGTCTGTGCAGTGCCTAGTGAAAAATAATTCAGACTATGAGGGGTAGACATACTGAAATAAGCATGGGGATTAAAGCCTTCTGCCTCCTCACAGAAAAACCTCTCATGTTCAAACAACCTGTTTGTCATTGCTGAAAGGATACATCTTTTTTCCTGCTGTGTAATGGGAAAAAAAGGAAAGCACATTTGGTATCTGCAGACTTACTGGTGAGTGAAGGCTTTTCCACTGACAGGTCTTCTGGGTTGTTGCTGAATGCAGCATAGACCCTGTGGTCATGCCATAAACACTGCATTCCTTCATGATCCTCCGGGCTGCTGTGTCATGGGAATTATGTCCTTTGTTATCAATGCAGGCTGTTCTTGTAACCCTTGTTTGGCTGCTTCTTCCAGTGATTTCCCACACGTGCACATTTCCATCCCTGCATTCCTGGAAATCTTTGTATTTCATTCCACAAAGACTGGCCCAGCTGGATTGCTATGGATGTAGTTTGAGGGAAGAGACAGTGCCCTAAAAGAGATGTTCTGCTGCATCCCTGAGAGGCTTTGCATGCATGAAGTTTTCCACATTCCCAAAGTGTGTTTTGTTCAGAAGTCTCAGCTTCAGGGTAGCACCCCAGAAGTATAAACTTGCAGAAAAGCCTCAAAATGTACCTGGGTCTCTGTCCTGCCACTATAGCTTCCAGACTAGTCCTGTCTGAGGGAGATGCCCACTTCTGTTCCAGAGCAGACTGAGCACATATCTGCATATGGGTCCAGGAAAATTCCCATCATGATTTGTGAAGCTGCTATCCCTGCTGAAATATTCTCTTGCTCAGCAGGTGTTTTCTTCAGCAAGATGGTGTCTCTGAAGAAGATGGTGCTGCATTATCCGATATCTCTTCTGGAGATAGTCAAAGATGAGGAAGAGGATGCAGTCATAAGTATGTGTGTGCGTGAGACAATGAGTGTGTGGAGTGAACTGGGCCCGTTCAGTGGAAGCCTCATGAAACCACGCCTGGGCTGACACTCAGGAAGTCCTGCAGCCCTGTCTGTGGGGTTGTGCATGTCCCTAGAGCTGGAGAGAGACCCCACTTGCATGAGGGAAATGTTACACTTTGCTTTAGGGGAATAAGTAGAGATGTGATCCCACTGAACAGGGTGGCTTCTACCCTCAGGTTGAAATCGGGACAGGGGGCATTTATGGTCACAGCAAGGGTGTGTAAAAGGCCTCATGACAGAAATGGCTTTCAGACACAGACAAGTTGCCTGGTACTGCTGTCCCTGTAGATTGCAGCTGATGGCTGGACACCAGGTCAGGTAGAATCAGGGACTGCCTGGGCTGCTCACCACATCCTGAGCTGCTGGTATCTCATGAGAGTTTTCCTAGGGCAACTGTGTGGTCACATCCTTGGGTTCACCCTTGGGTCTGTCTCTGTGACCATCTTTAGCCTTTTGCAGTCCTGTGCAATAAGAATCAGACCAATTCCACACAGACCTGGCCTTTGCATCTTGGAGGAGAAGTGACTCCTCTTCCAGCAGAATTAATAGAAGAAACTGCAGGCTCTTAACATCAATTGGGTCTAATTTTTTCTTGGCACAGATTGCTTGATTTTCCTAAAAAGAAAACTTCTTAACTATTGTAGCATATTCAGCAATACACAGATGATCACAGCTCTACTAATTTCTCAGCCATTGCCAACAACATTTCAGAACTCTTACTGAAATCATTATTCAAGGGTAAGTACCTGAATCACCTGAGCCTGTCTTCTCATCATCTTGTGGAACACCTTAATCACACCTGAAATTCCTCTCAAAAATAGTGCTAGGATGTTAGTCCTCCCCCACTGGCTTTGCAGAATTATTTCCTCCATTTTGTCTTGCAGGGGCTTAGGAATCAAAACTGGCAAAATAATTTCCTAGACCTGCATTTTTAACAGCATTTTAGAAGGACTACTCCTTTAATGATAAGTTGATAGCAACACTTGATTGTTCAGAGTAACTCAAACAACATAGCAGAAACTGAACCTATCTTGCAGTGTGTGGAGAACTGCTTCTAAAGCAGATTCAAGATTGCTGTGTTCAGAGGCATTTGCACAGACACTGGGTAAGGAAGCAATCTTCAATGGAAATAAAACCACTCTCAAGAGCTGACTGTTTCTTCATCTTATAGTATAAACACAGACAAGCCTCTGAGCAAATTCTTTCAGATTAGTGCCTCCTTTAACAAAATAAAAAATAAAAATTTTTTTCATTTTCCATGTTAATTTTACTCTGAGATTCAAATTAATTTCCCATTGTTCTTTTCTAGAAACATATGTCTGTGAGAAGAATTTCAAGGCTTCTAGGGTTACAAAGTAAGAACAGGAAAAGTATTTCCTTTTTTTCAGACTTAAAAATATAATATTTTTACAAAATTTATTAATACAAAAAATATACAAAATATATTACTAACCTGGGTATTAAATACCCAGGTTAGTAATATATTTAACTATCTTTCTATGCTACAAATTAAAATAGCAGCCTATTTTGTTCTCAGATCTTTTACAGGCTTGTCTTCATCAAGAGAATGAAATTTTAAGTGTGATTGCAGGCAAGGCTATAAAATGAACACTCCAGGAGTTGTAACACTCTTGCAGATCTCTTAAGACATCAGAAGAGCTTAGCTACTTTCTTGACAAAAAATTTCTTCTCTGAATGTGTGCATGAACTTTGGCAGCATTATCTGGTCCACCTCTTTTCCTGTGATAGGCTTAATCATCTCTGCAGGACCAAAAAGGGTTTGTGGCTAAACAAGCACCCTTAGCTGTGCCCTGCCTGCCAGAACTGTACAAGGAAGACTACAATAGAAAGTACCAGTCCTTTCCTGGAAGTAGATTTGTTTTGTCCACCTTTCTTGTGATTTAAGGATATAATAATTTGGAAGAGAGAAGTAATTTTTGGAAGTGGAAATGTTAGACTGGAGTAAGACTCTGTCCAAGACCTTTTTGTGCTGAAGACTAAATCCATGATGATGTCAGTGGTATACTTAAGAGACATCCCTATGACTGAATGAAGGGGGCTAAGAAGTCAGACCACATTGATAGTGTGTTTGGCTGGAAGTGACTGCTGGAAAAGAGAAATGGAAACTTCTTTTTTTAATGAAGGTTTTTATTCAATTGTTAAATAGAAAGAGGTAATAACTTAACTGTGCAGACAAAAGGAGGAGTATACCAGATGTATAGAATTTGTACATTTATATGGCTTGGGGAATAAACTTTTTCAGGAAGATGAAAACTTTGATTCTTAATAGAATAAAATTCCATACTGAACCAAGCCCAGATAGGAACAGAGTAAGAAACGCATAATTTCAATATTCACAGAATAGGTTCTTCTTCATTCAGTCAGTTGTGGATGCTATATCTTCTTTGGGTCCTCACTGTAAATGAAATGAGAGTATACTTAGCTTTCAGAGGTCTCTGAACAAACTGTAGCATCTCTAAAATATGTATATGCTAAATCATATTTTATCTGGCAGCTAAGATTGCTTTATATTTGTGGACATTTCAAAGTGACACAGGGAGTTTCTTAATTTTTCTTTCCCTCCACAGCAACAGTGTACAGAAATAGATACTACAAAGAGATAATATAAAATTGCTGGTTTGGTTTGGGTACATGGTCAAGTTAGCTCATTTCAGTGGATTCATGCAAACTCTGTGTGCTTGTCCTTATCCCATGGCAGATACAAGGCTGCATGACACAGCCAAGCTTCCTTTCCCACCAATACAAGCTGCACTGCTGTGCAATTGCTCTAGGCTGCAGTCATACACACAGGAATTCCTTTATTCCAGCTGGTACACACTAACTCGAAAGCCTGTGGTCACTTAATTGTTTAGTTGTGGCCTTAGTTCTCAATCAAATGGGACTGAAGAAAATGTGTTCTAGCTGGAAAGGTTCCAGGAATCCTGGCCATGGAAATGTTGCCTCTCTTCTTGTCATGGGGCTGGGTAACCTCATTCACCATAGATCTGTCTCACCCTCTGAACTGTGTGATTACAAAACTGCACCTTTTCCAGTGGAATGATATATTCAAATGCTGCATTACGATCTTTTCTCTTTCTACTGTGCTAGTAACACTAACAGTGTCATTAAATTGATTGCCCTTATTAGCATATGCTTTGGAATGGCACATATATGAGAGGGGAGAACAGTGAATCACCTGGCTAACAACACTTATCCTGAGTGTAGCCCCACCTGAATGAATAAATGGGGTCAGTGTAGAACTGATCCCTTATGTCAACAGCAAGGAAAGAAGTGATGACCCTCATGGAGAGCGGTTCTTCAATTATTTTCCTGAGTGAATAAAAGGTTGATTTGGCATAGACTGTTTTCTTTATTCTCCTTGTTCTCAGACTTACCAGCAGTAAAGGTGGCTTGGAAACCAGAAGCTGTATGGGCACCATCTGTGATGAACTCTACGAGCATAAGATTACTAGAAGCAACTACGCCATTGGGGATCTGTGATCCACAGGTCTTGTCCATTAGAACTGGAGAAGACTTGCTGGATCCATCATAAACTTTAACATAATCACCCTGACAGCCTCTAGTTTTTTGGAGCTGAAAGGCTTGAAAATACAGGGAAACCTGGAAGGGAAGAGAAAATCAGTTTTTAATACATAAGGATGCTTCTTTCATGGAATGTCCTTTAAAACAGACAGAACCTAAACTGTAACCAAGCGTGGACTCACAGACTAGAACTGCTTACCCAGCTTTGCCTCTCTTCCCCTGAAGTTGCAGGGTTCAGATCTAATCACTGAATGCTCCCATGCTCAAGGAACTTTCTCTTGGTTTTGCAAGACTGAAGCCCAGCTTGTGGAGGTTTTTCAATATCACAGCTCTGAAATGTCCTTGATTATACCTGGTTTAAGCACATACCTCTCTAGAAGTAGAGACTATTCTGAAATTTTTCTCGTCTGGCAACTGCTGTACAGAGCACAAGATGCTTAACGTAGAAAGAAGTTCAGTCATATTTCAAGACCACTATTATTAACCTGTGTTTACCTTTCTGGCTCGGGTTCGGATGAGCCAGACACAGTTGGTGTTATCTGAGTAATTCCTTGGGTAGTTGGCAGATCTCAGTGACCCAGAAGGTCCATCAAGAATAGTGCTGCAGCGACCTGAGGAAAAAATGCTTGCTTCAGGATTGCAGAAGATTTCAGTCATTCATAGCTACAATCTCTTCAGAATGGACTGATCACAGTTTTCTGATCTACGAACATTCATTTAGAGTACTAGTACATCTGATTAAAAGGAGGAATCATGTTGTCCTAATTTTCACATAATGCATCAAAGAGGAAAGTAAAGTAGTGCTCTGAAAAGCATTCCATTTTTATTGATTAGCTCTGTCATTTATCAAGAGATATCCTTCTGCAACTTTGTAAAGAGTGAGAGGTTTCAATTCACTGCAGTTGGTGCCACTGTTTCCATTGAGAAGGGGAAGTTAAGTGATGTCAAAAGAGTCAAGCACAAATATGATGCCCCTGCAATGCTTAAATTCTAAGCTTAGGAGGAGCACTTGGAGCGCAAGAGGCAGTGATATCTGGCTCTTTTGGGATTTATAGTTGTCTGCTGAACTGTAAGAAACCAAATTATTCCATTGGAGTTTAAAATGTGGTATGCAGTTAGTCCAGTTGCATAGCAGCCACTTATGCTAATAGCGAATGTGTTTAGCAAATTTAATTTAGAGGCAGTTTCCATTTTCTCACTAATCAAAATGTGCCTCCAGTTTCACCTTTGCATTCCTTCCTGGAGTAACCCTAGTGGGAACCAGGAATTCATGAGAATACTCTCCCAGTCTGATGAAAAACTGCTATCTCTGCCATGTGCCCAAATCTAAGCTGAAGATAACAGGGTGGCCTGGAGATACTTACTGCAGTTGTAAAGTTTGTTGATTTTGGCCACATCTAAGTTGCTCATCCCTTGTCTCTGTCCAATATGTACTGATCCATCAGGAATTGGTATAATAGTTGCTTTCCCAGTGGTATTGGTGAACGTGTATCTGAAAAGACCCATGAGAAATAATGTTCTCTAAGCACCATACTTCTTTCAGGATTCAGTAGGATGCTTTGGAGGGAGAACGAGAATTGTACATAAGCTGTTGCTGTGGCTAATAGTGCTGTTTAAACTGGTCTCATTGAGATGTCCACCAGCAAGCAGAGTCAATGCCCAGATGCTCTCCTTTGCTCCCAAGCCCAGTAGCAGAGGGCTCCCTAATGGAAAACTAAGGGACAGTGTATCCCAGTCCTAGGGAACAGCTGGTCTGAACTGACCCATGGTGTTTTCCTCAGAAGGGGAATTGGGGAAAATGGTAGTTAGGAGAGAGTTATGATAGAAAATAATTCTGATGTAAGACTTGAGCTCCTGAAATAATAATGCCATGCTGCTACTTACGGGCCATAGTGCATTACTGAGGTATAGTCATATGGAAGATCCAGGTTATTGGAGTTTTCAAATTTCTTGAAATCTGGTCTGTCAGCTGTAATATATGATATTGTACTTAGAAAATGCTTCCTACCTATCCCTTCAGGGGAGAAGGGGGAGCTGGGAGCAGTAGGATGTGTCTACACCACTTCCTACATTGAGGAGTTCAAAGTACTTACGAGGACTGATGTACTCCCACATGATCTTTACGTGTTTATCTCTGTCACTTCGAGAGTGTTCGTGCAAAAAGCCCAGAGCATGCTCCAGTTCATGCTGAATTACTCCTTTCCACATGCAGCCTCCTTTCATCACAGAGACAGTCTGTCCACCTCCTACTTTCCCATAGTTGGACCAGCAGCTGAGAGAAGCATTAAACAACAACAGAAGATTTATGGGATTTTTATTGGCAGACAGGAAAAGAGGCAGAACAGAGAAGCTTGCTTCACACCTCTTGTGGGAGTGGAAGGATTCCTCTCTGTCCACTGTGACAGTCAGAGTGTACAGAGGCAGAAGTTACCATGGCATATAAAAGAAGGAAGCATATGATCACTGCTAAATCTTTCTGGAAGACTTTTTAGCACAGAGGCTCCTGAATTCTGACTTTACCATGACTTTAACTCCCTTGAAATGACTTTATTTTTTTTTTCAAAATGCTAGACAGTATCAGAGCTGGAGATAAGATGGAAATAACGCATTCAAGCTAAGTGTTGAACAATTTTCTCATAATCTCTAACTCTGAACTTGATGGCCAACAGTGTGATTCAGAGAACTGTTTATTTTGTAAGTTGAAACTGGTTTACTTAAAACAAAAGCCTCTTGGAGGTCACACAGAATCAGTGTAGGAAAGGACTGAAAAAGAGAGTAGAAATAACTTGTTAATTTATCATTCAACTCACCCATCAGCAGATCTAATACTGAGGTAGTCACGTTCTGCCTTGCGCTTCACAAAATTAATACAAGTCAGTGCTTCAAATTCTGCCATGGCATCATGAATTCCTTTTACATGGCTTTCATCTGGGGAAGAGAGTGTTAATTTTAGGGGTCACAAGCAGACGTTATCAGATACCATTAAAATCTCACATAATCTCAAAAACAGGGTAAATGAGGTACAGAAATATTAGCCTAGGTTCTTTCTTTTTTTTTTTTTTTTCTCAGTACTGAATTTTGGTTAAGATTTTAACAGCCTGGCACAAGATCCTCTTTATCCAGATATTTGTCCAAATGTATTCAGGTGCCTCTTTTTTCAACAACTTATTCTTAATTATAGTAGCTATTTTTGATGTACTGTACTTGACACTTGGAGACAATTAGGAAAGCTGATGAAAAGCAAATCATTGAAGCTCCACTGTAATAATCATGAACCTTATAAAGGAAGGTATTCTGGAAGACACTATTAGAGGGAATGGTTATTGTTATCTCTAGAGATCAGTCCCAAAACATGATGCAGGCAAAATGTCTCAATAAATATTTCTGGTTCAGGTCCTTGTGACTTAAAATTTATCTATGCTTGCACAGCAAAAGTAAATCCTTAGAATTGATTTATTCAACTGTTTGCATGCTCACTCAATGTAAGTTTCTCTCTGAAGAGTATTGGACAAAACCCATTACAAAAAAAAATTGTATTTAAACCCACCATAAGTAGGATCCAATTCATAGGGAATACGAACTATCCCATCACTGGACTGGGGCCAGTTGCAATGACGACAGTTGATGGCACTGCGACTCCTTCGTGGGACTATGTCACCTTCCTGCAAGAACTGAGAGCTGTCTGGTGAGAGAGAAAGGGTGGAAACATTTAAGCCATAAATTGCTGGACACCTGCTAAGCACACGTGGGAAAACAAGCAGTGGCAATAGTAAGAATGATGTTTTACTCTGGTACTAATTTAATTAACAGTGTCACATCATGTAACACTGAATGAATGGCATCAAATATATCCCCAGGAAGGTGCTGGGCAAAAGCAGAAGGTGCCAATAAGGAAGCCCAAGAAGGTGGGCAAACCAAAAAGAGGAGTGTTGCCAGGAGAAAACTGTAGGAATATTTGGTGTCCCTTTCTACTGACTACTTTAGTTCAAGTAAAGTCACTTGAATGACTTTTGGAGTCATGTGAGAAACAAGCTGATAGATCAGGGAACGTTTGGAAGGAATGGGGAAGAGAAAGTCTGGAGCAGTGAGAATGGAATTGATTGCAGCTTATCTAGGAGTCTGCACTGCGAAGCCATATTATGGCTCAATGCAAGCAATGCTTCATTCGAAAAAAAATGTTGCTAAACAGCAAAACATACAAATACCCACATTTTCTCTTTATGTCCTAAGAATGACAAAGATGTTGAAAGCTAAAGCTGAAGAAACTGTGTGAATAGTTTTCAGTTGCCTCCACACCTGGGAGCATCTTCAGTACTGACACAATAGCTTGAAATGCTATAGGGCCTCAGCAGACCACAGCATAATCCCAGTGGTATCTCTTACATGGTAGTGTGTACGATGGGAAACACATTTGCACAGACTGTGGTAAGACATTGTACCTCCCACATCACCTTAAAGAAGCAACAAAGACAGCCCCCTTATAAACAGGATTTTGGTGGCATTACCTTTGTTAACTTTCAGAATTTTGTTAAAAATATCTTCATCCTCCTCATCAGTCTCTGTAGGCGAAGGAGATTCTGTGCAGAAACACAAGAGTATCACTTTCTCATTCCCAGAGGAAATATGAATCCTGTTTTTTTTACTCTGATGATGCATGATTTTTCCAGTGGTGCATATAAAACTTAGAGAGCCTATTTAGGGACTGGGAGGGATGTTCACTCATGTAGGTATTTGTTCACTGAGACAATCTTGAGAATCTCTTAGATGTGGTTATTTTAGCATTAATCTAGTCCCAAGAGCCATTCTCCTTCAATTATTTCATTCTCTCCTTTTTTTTCTTTTTTTCTAGCCATCATATTTTCAGGCCTGAGATGGCACAGTTTTACTTCTTTATGAGCAACTCATACTCAAATCCCTAGCATAAGATACCAGAAACAATAATGCATTGAGAGCAGTCCTGCTACTTCTTGCTGCACATGATGACCTCTTGAAAAACCCTCAAAATCAATGAAATTACAGGTTGGACTGATGTCCCCACCAAGCCCAGCATGAGGGACTCATAGGCCTTGCTAGCAAATTCAGCCAACTGTGCATTATGCAACAAGTCTTGACATCAACAAAAAGCAAAAACACATGACCTCTGTGCTTCTAACCTTTAGAGGTGACTTAATTCAAGACATGACTTAAGCAGAGTTATTTTTAGCAGAAGTAACAGCTGAGGTTTTTAGCAAGGCCGAGATTGGCCAAAACCACAATACTTTGCTTTGCATGAAGCATTGTGGTGAGTGCATTCATTTAAAATTCCTCATAAAGATTGTGTTAAGCCTGTGTTATTTTCTGAAGTAACTGAGTAGATAACAATCAGTATATCCCCTCAAATATGTACTTGTAGATGGAGTAATACATACCGTATATATTCTCCTCTGTAGTAACCTGCAAGAACAATACATTAATATTATCTCACAATTTATAATGTAACATTAAATTAAATAATGAAACATATAAGTTATCAACAGCGTCCAGGCTACCATTGGCAGTATCTTTCACCAATGCAGCTTTTATATACTGTGCCATGTGTAAAGAAGTACCACGGGGTGGTAGATACTCTTCTTTGGTACCTTGGCAAATAGGAGTATCATAAAGGCAAATGCAATATGAAGTGTGGAATAAGGTTCAGATACACTCTGATGCACGGTTGGGCAGAGAAGACTTTGCTGCACAGGTGTAGATACAGCTGGAGTACAAGAGTCCTGACCTTACTTTCCACAGTGTTGGACCCCAAAGTGATCAGAAGAGCTGAATTAGCTTTCCTTACCTCAGTAGGTTCTGTTGCTGCAAAAAGAAAAAAAAAGGAAAAAAAAAAAAAAAAAAAAAAAAAAGAGACAAGCATCAGACTCTGAATGCAACTTCACAGTGTTCCTCAGCCATGGGAATGCCTTTGGCAGATCCCTTGGAGTACACCATCTGATGCACAGGCAAAGAAATTAAAAAGATATTCAATCAAACAACTGTTAAAATTCCTAGTAGACTGTGCTGAGGAACAGAATCTTGATCATTTTCCATCTAAGAATCAACAAAGCATTTTATCAGTTTCCATGTGGAAAATTTCAAAAGAAATCAGTGACAAAAAAATGCTTTGACCCCAGACTTTTCTGCAACAGGTGTAGGCTAACTAGCTCAACCATATCCCCTGGTTTCACAGTGTCAATAGGTTCATAGGTCATAAAATGTGATGGAGGCTATGATTCAGCATGGGGAAAATAATCTCAGCTTCATTATGCACCTGACAGCAGCTTGGTACCACTCTGAGTCCTAAGGTGCCTTTCTACTGTGGTGCCTTCTGATCTTTACCAAATACGAGATCCTAGATACAAACCAGAAGTGAAAATCTGACCTGATGTACACATTTCTATCTTAATTTTTATAATATCAAAAAAGTTTAAAAATTTGAAGAACCTTCAGAGGTCATCAGTTTGTCTGCTTTCCCTAAGGCAGAAACAGTTTTATCTGTATTATTCCCGACCACAGTTTGGTTGACCAGTTCTTAAGTATGATGGATATGTTGCAAGCATATCTGGTAATCTCTTCCAGTTTCCTAATAATTGCAGTCTTCCTTGTCAAAGTATGAAACAATTTTGTTTTTCCTAGTTAACACTGAAACAGAGAACACTCATGTAAACAGTCATTATTTCCAAGCCCATCTGTGCCCCAAATTTTACTATAATTTTTTTCAGTAAAAAATATGCCAAACTCTACCACCCCTTGCAGCACCATTCCATTTTCATAATTATTGCTCAAACATAGTGAGGAGATGTCTTCATTTTCGGACTCTATCTAGGACATGCAACAGAATTACTTTTATTGAGCCAAAAAGACTTCAGTCCGTGTTTTCAGACTGTTACTTCAGTTACATGGCAATGGGAGTCCACTGCAATGATGGTGGTTTATTATAGAAAAATTCTGTCAGTTCCCACCAGCTGCATCAGAGAGATCCATGGCATCTAAAAACATTCTGCAGGGAAGAGCATTTTTGGGATGGGTTGACTGGATCCAGAATTTATGTACCCAAGAGGCACTTGATTAATTGAGTAGTCAAAGTCAGTGAAATTAGGCTCCAGATTCCTAGGCACATAAAGCCTTCAACTTCTTTTTAAAACTCAAATGAGACACCACAGAAGGCGTCTGCCATCTCCTTGATGAAATGAACATCTGGTGTGATAGGGCTTTCAAAATTATACAGCTCACATTTTCCCTACACTCTAAATACTGAAAGAAGTCTCAAAAGGCACAAAACCCAGTAACAATGATAAATTGAAACTCATTCTATGCATTTGCCCCAATAAGCCTGCAACCTTGAGTCTGAACAACTGACTACCTTGAACTTGGGCAAGTGTATCCCTTGGTCCCTTCTAAATATACTGAGTAGTAATTTTACAACATCCTTTTTTTCCCATGCCATAAATGACAGTTCAAAAGCAGAATTTGTCAATTTTCTTTTGTCACTGACTTGCTCTATGTCAAGCAAATTTTCCCAAGGTGTCTTCTTTTTGCACACATTACACCCAGCCTGTTAGTTTCTTGCTGTAGTTAAAGTCTGCCTACAGTTTTATTTCCATCGACCTTTGAAGGTTTGCAATTATCTCCTTGTATTTTGCCAGTTAACAAAAGCTGTTCAGCTAAGCCTGTTCCAAACCAGAACAAAGCAAAGCTTTCTTTGATGCCTGACATCTTTCTCATACAGCTGAACTGAGGTAGGCAAGGAGGCAAATGATTAGCAGTCCTATTATAACATTCAACTTAGTGAAAAGGTATCAAGATGTCTAATTAAAATTTTATTTCAAGCCTGTGAAAGCACATCTAAATTAACCTAATAAACCATGCCCCAAAAGTCTGTGTAAAGCACATCTTGGTAAAAACACATCTGCACTCAGCTCAATAACAAGTTATGAAACATAGCCTTATTCAAAAGGCTTGTCAGTGCTTTCACATGCTCTAAAAGCAAGTCAAAACCAAGAATATAATAAACAGTCAAGAAACAACAGGTGCTTTTAAAGTGCACTATAAATCCTACTTACTTGTTGTGCTGTTTTCATAGTTGTCCTGCAAAACCAACAGGTAAAAGGCATTATTCTTCCACAGCTGACAAATGCGGCAACAATATTATCAAACGAACGGAGGAACAAATCGTTATATTGCCTTTATTTATTATAGAACTAATATTTTCTTGCAGAAAATGTATCAAAGTGGGCCTTCACAGCTTCACTCCATGAAGAACAGAGCAGCTAGACCATGGGGCACAGCTGCACGGAGCTGCTCTCACCTGAACAGGGAAGCCCAGGGCAGCGGGCAGCAGGAGCGCGGCGCAGAGCAGGAACCTCTTCAGCTCCATCGCGCAGCGGGGACAGACCACCGGGGCGAGCCCTTATCTCGCACCCGGCAGCGCTGCCGCTAGATATAGCAGCAGAGCCTGCTCTGCCCGGGCCGGGAAACCCTGCCCAGCCAATGGGAATTCCAGCAGGAAGCAAACTCCTGCTGCTGCCCCGACAGCCGCTTTCGCCCCCGGGCATCTCCCGGCGCTGCGCTCTCGCCGCCGCCGGGAGCATCCCCAGGCCGCCCGCGGTCGGTCGCGCTGCTCGCTAGAGCTGGCTCGGCCTCATGCTTGGGCTGCCATGCACTTCCTCTGCTTCTCAGAGGATCTTTCCTGAAATGTTGGGTTTCACTCTTACCACACAGGAAGCCCTTGTTCCTGCATAACTCTCCAGAGAACTGGATTGTTAGGATTTCAGAGGATAGGTAACTTTTTTATGTCACTGAGATTACAGAAGGCCATGACACTATTGTGCTGCTTCGAAACATAGAACATGTCTACTCAGTGAGCTTATGACTGTGTCTTCCCTGAGATGGCTTATGGCTCTATAAGTAGAGATTTTTGGTTTTTCCTGTATGTTTCTTGATGTTTCACCCCGTCTCCTGTGTTCCATTGTTTCTAGCAGTCCGGCAGTTATAGATGCCCTTATGAGTTTTGTGACCAGCAACCAGAGCAGGGGAAAAGAGAGCAGCAGCATAAGCAGCACTTACTCATTTTGAGACTGATTAACAGATTTGCTTTGCTGGAGTGCACTTGTCCAGAAGTAGAGTGGAGTTGTCTAGAGGAAGCAGTGAGCAGATCTAGCAAGAAATGCTTGTAGGAGGCAAACCAGCCCCTTATCACAGCAACCTCTTCTCACATCAAAGCTCTACTTACTGAACCATTTGCTGAAGCTGCTGTAGCTGGGAAAGCATCTGGTCTCTGATACACTTTTGATTTGTGTCAAAGTATATTTTCCATGCATGGAAAAGGAAGCTGAATTATAAAATGCACTGATTCTGCCTCTAGACCATGCTAGTGCTCAGATACCCTCAGAGCAAGCTCTAAACCCACTTATTCCTTATTTCTGTACTGAATAAGATGTTCTGGAGATTCTCCATGTTGGTGAATAAATCAAGAAACAGCAGAAGGCTTTCCCTCTATTTGTCTCCAAATCATACCCAGTCAAGAGTAGGAATTAGATGGAAATGAAATCTGAATTGTGTTGGAGGGGATTACTCTTTATTTTAGTGGTGGAAAGTCCACAGTGCACACTGCTGACTATTTTAAGGAAGTCTGGATTGGCAAAGTCCAGGGACAAACTTTGGTCACCCCCACAGGGAGGCAGCATAGGGGGATATTACTTTTCTGTGTCTGCACACTGGCTGAAGGAAGGTCTGCCCCAGACACCGGTTAGTAAACAGCAGGGTGGCACATGGTCCTTGTGACCATGAAAGAGCATCAAGCAGCTATTGTCAGCATGTTAATCCTGTTTTGTGTCCTTTGTGCACATATATGTCCTCAATAAGCAATGCTAAATGTCTTTTTTTAAATATTTGTCTTTCAGAATGATGAAAATCTTCCTCATGCTGAAGCAAAGCTGTGCAGCTCTGGTCTGCAGTGGGAGAATGTTTCCATGTTTCTCACTCAACACAAGGACAAAACAAAAGTCCATGATACCAGATACCTTGACATGCCAAAACCATACCAAAACCACACTGCAACATGGAGTTTGAATATAATATGCTTTCATTAGAGTTTAGGAAGAAAAAAGGAAACATCAGACCACTCTCAGGGAAAATCAGTCCAGGAGCAAAAGGAAGGATCAGAGGTAGCTGAGGGCATTAAACAAACTTGAAAAGCAAGATAGGAAGGTTGGTAACCTCAGCATCTTTGTAGCCTGTTATTGGGAAAATACTACTCCTGAATGACTGATTAGCTGCCTGTGATCAGGAAAGAGTGAGGCAAAAAGGATCAGCATATTTTTTCCTGGACATGTTACTATACTGACATACTAAACAGTTCATTAAATAAATTGCTGCATGCCATGTTTTCCATAAGCTAAGAAATAGTGCTGATAGGGGAGATGGCTTTTTGGGATCAAGCATGTGTCTGTAAATGTTGCAGCTGGTAAAGTTCACACAGCAGAGCAAGAGGGAGTGCTGGTACTTGTGGTTACTGCCAGCTCTGAAGATCCTATCACCTTGTGCCTCATATTTAGATTCAATATTTGGTTATTTTCCAAAGTGTTGTACTCATGGGGGAGGAATTGTCAGCAGACCTGTTTTCACTAATCAAAATACACTCTAATTTATTGAAATATTGCAAAAACAGGACATAGTTTTACTAGATAAAATAAAGCTGGAACCTCTAGTAGAGAAAATGCCTCAGAAATTGTTTGGAACTTTTAGGAACCAAAGGACTTCACAAAGATAAGCTGTCTTTCCATGTATACAAGAAAAGCATGTGGCAAGTTTTGTCAGATCCAAGTTCTCCTGTTAGTATATCCCAGTTTCTGGTGGACAGTAGAGATTCCACAGATTTTGAACACATGAACAATTATTAGCAAATGTCCAAAACCAACATCAAAATCTCATTAAGTACTTGAACAGTGTCACAGTCTGCAAGAAGTCTCTCAGCAAAATATAACACTGCTCCTAAATGATCACCACAAAACTTGGAGTTATGCCTGTTAGACTTGTTTGTAGAAATCTGTAGGCATAACCAAGAAAATAATATACAGACATACAAAATCAAAACAGCAGGTGTGTGAAAGATACAACAATTCTGCAGAAATCTTTATGATTTTGCCACGTGATATGTCATTTAGTCATGTGTTATTCTCTTTGGAGTCTTCCACTGTAAACAGCTCCCAAAGTAGAATGTAAACCATCAAGATTTAATTATGGACAGAAATTGCACTAATTGCTACTAATTGCTGTGCCATGAAATGCAGGCAAAAAATATTTCCAGGAACTAATAGAAACCTTTATGCTGAACAGCTTGTGGAAGTTATGTGATAGCTACCAAAACTGATTCATGGTAAGATACTAACTAATCTTGAAAGTTTAAAATCATCTGCCTTTACTAAAACCAACCATTGAAGCAATGGTATAGACCACAACACATAACTGAAATTGCTGTGGATTGGCATCACATGAATAAACACCACACAATTACATATGCAATCTGGGGTTAATGACAATCTGAACCAGGAATATATTATTTTAGGTAGAATTGCTCCATACCATTTCCCAGGAATGTCTGCTTTGTGCAGCATTTCAGTAGTTTGGCTCACTTTCATTTGGAAAAGGAATTCTGGTTTCCACTGAGCTCTTGGTTCATGAATTCTGAACTCACATCCTCTGGCCAGTAAGTCTGCTCCTGTGCAATGCTTTCAGCTCAGTGCTTTGTCTCCCTCTCACTAATTCCAAGTGCCCTAATCACACAGAAATCACTTCCTTTTCTGTGGTGTCTTTATGATCAGACACTTTTCAGATATAAATCAGTCCTCACACAAGCTTTCTCTGTGCTGGCTTAAAGGACTTTCAGCCCTTTAACAATTCCACTCTTCTTGATTCTACAATTATATTTTCATTCCTTCCAAGTTGCCTGTACCTTTTTGGAGTGCAGTGATTAAGAGTGGACAATTTCAGTGCAATTCATGCCAGCCAGGACTGCACTTTGCTGGTTGAGAGTAATATTGACATGCTGGCAGCCCCTGAGGGTTTCACAAGTAACCAGCACAGACTTCAAGTCCCTATGTGGAAGACTGATGTGTGTTATAAAAGACAACTCTAGACAAGTCAAAGTGGAGTTAGAAGCTGTTTCCCGGTGCCCATGACCACACTTGCTGCATTCACAGATTTACTTGTCCTTCATGTCCCTCTCCACATTTCTTCTTTGGATCCTAACTCCCAGAGAAGACCTGGAGGTGCTCGGGTTCCTGTTCCACTTTGTGTTTTGCTTTCCATTTTTAGGGGTTTCCATGTCATTTCTAACTCCATCTGGAGCAATGAATCCACATGATTTGCAGGTTCTTTAGCAGAACACTGACACATCCTCTGTGATATTAATGACTAGCTCCAGCTGCAGTCCTAGCCCTGACTGTTTATTGAAAGAACTCAAACCTAAAATGATGAACATTGGCTTGTGATTGGTGAGCTACTTTTTTATTCAAGAGCCAAACTTAAAAAGTTTGAACTTTAGTCTGTCATCAGAAGGACAATGAAGAAAAAGGTTGGTTTTGGGGATTTTTTTTGTGATATGTTCTTCTTTATGAAAGAAAAATATGGAGAGAGGAAAAAAATAGTAAAGAAAAAAGCTGGAATAATAAAAACGTTGTAACTTCTAAAATAAAGGTTGCAAACATGTTGATTGTAATTTCAAAATCAGAATTCAAGGCCAAATTTAGCAAAGCATAATTTAGCAATTAAACTAGCACTTGTAATGATGTGTGATCCAATGGCTACTTGGGATGAGGGAGGGAGAATGGAAACTGGAACTTTAATTTGGACAATTCTAATAGTGAACTTCTGATTCCCTTGAAAAAAACCAACGAATTCCTTTCTTTTATCAGGAGAAGCCATCTGATTTGTCTGCTGCCCTTAGGTGAAGAAAGGATGGATCAAAGGATTTACACTGTGTTTCCAGCCTGCAGAGTAATGTTATGCTGATTGCAAAGGAATCCATGTGATGGGGTAAGGTGCAAGCTGTTTGAGCAGTGCCTGGGGCCATTTTTGGTCCCTCTGCCCTCAGAAGGAGCACACCCAGTGCTGCCCCAGCTGGGGAGATCTCCTTGTGACAGATTATGCAACGGCCAGACAGCTTCCCTGCTTGGTTTGATCTCCTGTGAGCAGAAGTGTCCTTTTGCCTACAGGGAAGATTTTGCTAACAGTAACCATGCCATGAAAGTTACCCTTGTGAGTGCTTGCTTGGCAATTTAACTAAGGCAGAGGAAAACACCTCTCAGATGAGTGCATGGTAGCTGCCTGTGTATGCTGCAAGTGGAAAGCACATCTCTGCCTCTACAGTACACAGATGTGCCTGATAAAGGGTCCATTAGGGATTGGGCATTGTCCCTTGCTCAAATATCACTTATTTTTCCTTTGTCCCTCATCAGAAAGGCTCTGCTTTCTGACTGTGCTGCTTGTCTCAGTACCTATCTCAATACCTTTGATTGTTATTCACGTATTTGCTTCCCAACTGTCCTCGAAGCAGGCTTTTTTAATATTTCAATGACAGTCTCGAGATGGCTGTTTTGCTCTTACTCGTATTTTCTAATGCACCAGGTTAGCTTATGGATTTGCTTCCTCTTCTGGGAGGATAATTTATAACTCCTCTCATGTCTCCTGAGCAGGTGAGTTTGGACACTCTGCTAATTCTGACTTTATGCGGATCCACGGAAAAGTACTTCACAAAAATTAAGTCTTGTTTTAAGCGAGAGCTGCTATCCAGGCAGATACTAGTGGTTAAATATTAACATGGGAAAGATTACCTGATAATAAACTTCAAAGTTATTGAAACAAAGAATCCACTTGCATGTTCCAGGAGTCTTTTGCCAAAGAGAGCATTTGCCTCCACAGTAGCAGCCAATGATCTCTGAAGCTCTGAGCACAATAACTGATGTGCAGCAGGGGTTCCTGGCCAGGCAGGACAGCCAGCGGTGTGTTTTCTTCTGTGTGTTGTGAGCGTGCAGCCAAAGCATGGTGGGCCTCAGACAGCCACGCTGAGGGCCATGCTCTGGCCTGGGGGCTGAGGGTCCAGACTGGACCAGCAGGGTCTGCCAGCCCTTGGGTGGGAGAGCAGCAGAGCTGGGGATGGCAGGGAGAGCGGCTGGACAAGCAGGTTTGATGCAAGGGGTGCTGGAGCAGCACCGGCAGAGCTGCAGCGGGCAGGGGAGGAAGGGTGGGAGGCCGAAGGCTGTCCTGCTTTGTGCTGTCAAACAGTCACTGGGGAGCTTTGCACAGCACAGCCTTGGCCTGGGCTAACCACCCTGCCACCTCTCAGCGCTGGGCTTTCGTTTTTACAAGGAAATAATTCAGGTTTTAAAATCTACCGCCGCCACTCATGATTTAACCATTTAGCAGGAAAACCACCCTTAATCACCTCTCAGTTTCTGAGGGATACCCATTCCTGCCTCTTTCTTTGAGCCATGCTAGGGCTTCTGTTAAAAACACATCCAAAAAGTGTGCCATCATGGATTTACCCTTCCAGCAATTCCATCTGGAAAGGAGGAGGATTTAAATGTGTACATTTATGCCTGCACCTCTCTCCCCTTTCCACTACTGATTTTATTTGGGTCACCAGGAATTTCAGAATTTTTTACCATAGGGTCTGGAAGGATCCTGGAGCATGAGGGTGTCTGTTGCTTTCACCATTCCTTTGGTGAAGAGAGGACCTAACAGGAAACAGAGGATGGCTGCTACCCAACCCATGAATTATCTATCCATGATGCTTCCCAAGGGAGCTGTGGCTACATTAACCTTGGCTTACAGCTGTGATTACATTAAAGAAAAAGCTTCCACAGGGACCTTTCTTTTCCACTCATCTGCACTGACTATCCCATTAGTTACTGAACGCATTAAAGGCACGTTGACACACAGCCTCCAATTACAATTTCTGAAGTCCTTACCAGTGTTCCCTCTGTTGCTCAGTGAACACATCCCTCTCCTCAGAGTAAGTGCAGTTGAAATAAATTAGAGAGGCTGCCTTGAGATCTTCCACTAAAGAGAAAAGCCTATCTATGTTTTCATATATAATTTATTTTAGATTTATCTAACTAGCTGATAGAAATACGTATGGCCAAACTTTAATGTTAGGGCATCTAGCCTTTTGGCTTTAGGTTCATCTTTACTAATAGTTTCAATTCTCCTCAGTGAACTCAGATTTGGCTCTCAGTTCACAGGTTTGTATGCAGGAAAGCCATTTATTTGAACTGCAGCTCTGTTTTTTTGCAGAGATGGTTCTGTTGTAAATCTGCGCATGATGCAGTATGAGTTCAGCAACAAATCAAGGTCAAGGCACTCTGAGAAATCTTCTACTTAGAGGCCTGCTTCCATCCTTTGCACATGTATTTGCCCTCTATCTCTGATAAGAATGTCATAAACAGGTTCTGTGTGGATAGTTGTAGTCCTCCTTTAAATAAATAAATTCTTTTTGTAGGAAATTGAAGTAGTGAATGATGTGAAATACTCAAAATTGTTAGTCTCTGCAAATGAGAGAAGGGTGGAGTATTTATTACTTTCTTTATTCTGATAATCTCTTCTGATCTTGAAGAGAAAGAGGCCCACGTGATACTCGTTTTGGACCATCATAAAAAGGCGAAGAGAATGTAGAGCTCGTCTCTCCAAGAATTTATGACGGCCATAGACGCAGTCTCTGTGGCTGGCCATTAAATGAATTATGGCTGTAGCCTCGGACTATTGCAATTCTGGTATCTTAAGATCTGTTGAAAGACCAAGGACTAAGGTGCTGGTTCGTGTGATGACATAACTGAAAAGAACAGTAAAATGCAAATAGAAAAAGAAATACATATATCAAATATTCAAGTCAACCTTCTAACCCAATAAACCAGAAAAACTCTAATTTTTTTGCCCAATCATTAAACTAAGTGGGCAGCAGACTTGCTGACCTACTGGTCCTCACAGGAGCAGGACCACATGTGTCTCTGCTCATGGGTGTACTTGATTAAAGCACTCACAAACTGAAATGAATGGGGATATTCTTTGCTGTCACTCAAGACA